AGAAGATGGTTGGAATTCTTAAAAGATTATGATTTTGGTTTGAATTACCATCCCGACAAAGAAAATGTTATGGCTGATGCATTAAGTAGGAAGTCTTTGCATATGTTGATGTTGATGGTGCGAGAGTTGGAATTACTTGAGCAATTTCGAGATATGAGTTTGGTTTATGAAGAGACTTCTTCTGGTGTTAAGCTTGGTAAGTTGAAGCTTACTAGTGGCATTCTTGATGAGATTCGAGAAGGTCAAAAATCCGATTTGAGTTTGGTGGATAGATTAACGTTGATTAATCAAGGTCGAGGTGGCTATTTTTGGATTGATGAGAATGGTATCATGAGATGTCGTGATAGAGTTTGTGTTTTGAATATATTTGATTTGAAGAAGAGGATTCTTGAAGAAGGGAATCATAGTGGATTGAGTATTCATCCTGGAGCTACTAAGATGTATCAGGATTTGATGAAATTATTTTGGTGGTCTAGTATGAAGAAATATATTGCGGAATTTGTGTATTCTTGTTTTATTTTCCAAAAGTCGAAGATTGAACACCAGAAATCATCTGGTTTGATGAAATTGTTATCTATTCCTGAATGCAAATGTGTTATTTTGTGGCTATTTGGGTTATTGTGGACGAGTTGACGAAATCTGCTCACTTTATTCCGATGAGAATGGATTATCCAATGGAGAATTTAGCAAAGTTATACACTAAATGGGTTGTAAGTTTGCATGGTATCTATCTAGAATTGTGTCAGATTAGAATTCAAGATTTACTTCGAGATTTTGGGAAGGTTTGCAAAATGCTTTGGGTATGAAGTTGCGTTTGAGTTTTGCATATCATCTGTAAATAGATAGTCATACTGAGAGGACGATTCAGTTACTTGAGGATCTTTTGAGAGCTTGTGTATTGGAACAAAGAGGTACTTGGGATATTTGCGTGCCTTTGATTGAGTTTACTTATAACAATAGTTTCCATTCGAGTATTGGAATGGCATCATTTGAGTATTTATATGGTAGAAGGTGTAGGACGCCTTTGTGTTGGTATGAATCGGGATAGAGTGTTGTGGTTGGACATGAGATAGTCCAGCAGACTACGAATAAGGTTAAGATGATTAAGGAGAAGATGAAGGATGCTCAAAGTCGTTAGAAGAGTTATCATGATAAGAGGAGGAAAACACTTGAGTTTGAGAAGGGAGATCACATGTTTCTTCAAGTTACTCAAATAACAGGTGTTGGTCGAGCATTGAAGTCGCGTAAGTTGACGCCGCGTTTTATTGTTCCTTATCAAATTTTAGAGAAAGTGGGTGAAATGGCTTATCAGATTGCTTTGCCATTGTCGCTTTCTAATCTCCATGATGTGTTCATGTGTCTCAGTTGAGGAGATACATTGTAGATTCATCTCATATGGTCCAATTAGATGATGTACATGTAAGAGATAACCTGACTGTAGAGACATCACCTATGCAGATAGAGGATCGGGAGTTGAAGTAACTTCGTGGTAAAGAGATTGCCTTGGTGAAGGTAGCTTGGGGAGGGCCGGGGGTGGAAACATGACTTGGGAACTCGAGAGTCGGATGAGCGAGTCTTACCCTGAGTTGTTTGTTTGAGGTAATTTTCGAGGATGAAAATCTTTTAAGTGGGGGAGAATTGTAGCACCCCAATTTTTATTTACAAGTTATTTTATTAGTTATTTATTTTATTAATTATTATTTAATATAGTAATTAATTAATTGTGTGATTTTGTGAATATATGTGTTATATGTGTACTAGGTTATTGGGTATGAGAATAAAATTATTGATCAACTGGGCTTTGGTATGATGGGTTAGTGTGAGTGGATGAGATAAGCCCATTAGTGAAATAAGAGTTAGTAAGAGTTTTGTAAAACAAAGAGAGAGAATTGTCAAAACAAGAGAAGAGAAGAAAGAGGAAAAAGGGAGAAAATGGAAAAAAGAGAGGAGAAGAAGATATAACCCTAGAAAGGATCTACATCCAAGGTAAGGGTGGATAATTTTCATTATTATGGGAGTATGTGATGTATGTAATGGGTACTAAGTATGATTAGGGACTTTGTTCTTCAATTTCTAGATTTTGACATGTTAGGGTTTGAATGTGAAATCATGAAATTGATGTTTGAATCATGTTCTAATGTTTGTAATTGATGCTATGTGTTGGATATATTTTATAATGCATTTAATTACATGAAAATGACTGATTGGAGTGGGTTTTGTGACCCTAGTTCGTGGAGGACAAAATGTTGTCCGAAACATATTTTTATGGTTTTTCGCGAGGCCGCTTAGCGCAGTCTGGGATGAAAAGTTTTATATTCTGTTTAATTTAAGAGGGATCCTGTATGCTTGTGATTTATAAAGGATTTCCATGAATTTTAATAATTTATTTGATGTGTATTGAATAGGATTTGGATGACTTTTGATGAGAACATAATACTTGAACTTATGTACATGTATGTCATGAATTGATGTTAGATATGAATAACATGTGTTGGCATTGTTTTCTATGTGTTATTATGATGTGCTGAAATGATGAATGCTATGAGAATGCATTGTATATAATTGATGACTTGAGATATGTATGTTTATGTAATGGTGATGATAATTCAAAAGTGATGAATTATGTGATGTATACTTGTATGATTAAGATTGAGGGATGGTTTAACTGCATATGATTATTGAGATTGCACATGCATCATTTATTATCAAGAGGAAATGTTTTCTAGTTTTTGCGAGAGCTAGTTGTCACACCACGAAAAAAAACACAAAGTCGTCAACAAACTCTATTTATCCCAAAGCAAGGGAAGATATCGAGATAACCCAAAAGAAATGGATAAGATGGTCTTGCGACCAAGAGAAAAGGTACGGAAGTCGGTTACGTAAGGGGAAGGTATTGGCACCTCACACATCTGTGGTACTCCACAAAATCCACTTAAGTTTATTCTAATCTAAGGGTATGTAAAACTCTATGTCTACAGCTTAATGCTAAGAGGGAATGCAGGCGAAAGAAAATACGGGGAAAAGAAGGAATATTTATAAAGTTTTACTCGCCTAGGCCCCGTGACCTAATGCTTACGTATCCCTTTCGAGGAGTCAGATCATCGTAGTTTCGCTCACATGTTTCGATTTGTTGTGTGTTTTTTACCTTGAAAAAAGATTTTAAAAGAAAAGCCAAGTGGCAAAATGAAGTTTGAATTGGTTGGTGTTTTTTTACCTTGAAAAAGAGTTTTTGTAGTATTAGAGTGTTTTTATGAGTTTTAAAAGAAAAAAGGAGTTTCAATTTTAATGCAAATGCAAAATAGAAAGAAAAAGGTCTAAGGGAGACTAGCAAAGCACGCCTAGAGTTATCATGCAAAGTTGATCCTATATTTGAGTTTGAAAGAGAAATATCTACCTATGTTAGCATGCATGGGTTATGATCCTAATGTCTAGCTTGCATCAAAAATGAAACAAGCGAATCCTACGAGAGCATACAAGGGTTATAATTTAGTGAGAAATACAAGCACAAGTGGTAACAAACAAAGTCGAACCAAAAACACAAATCAAATCGAGTGCGAGCTAGCAACAAAATAAAAGAGTCCAATGGATCTCAAAGTAGGAGTAAGGATCTCTTTCCACTTGATTTGCTCGAGCACCAACATCGAGTAATAACTTGGAGCATCAACATCGAAAGACGTGAGTTAACATCATCGAAACGAATGACAAAGCGTGGGGGGTTGATAACAGACCCTTGTCTCCTACTTGACTAACTCGATAACAAGAATAGGCACGGTTCAAAGTATCAACGTATAACGTGAGCTAAGAACGATACATACTAGAATGTGTGGGGATCGATTGCGAACCCTCTATTCCACTTATTGACTCGATAGTAAGCACAAAGTAAAAAGGGAGGGGAATTTCCTACTTCGAGGACTTTAGCATAAACGCCTCCTTTTGAGGTCTTTAAACAAACAAGAAATCACCCCTTTTGGAGTCTTTTGCAAACAAAAACATTACCTCATTTTGAGGTCTTTGACCAAACACAAAATTTCCTCCTTTGAGGACTTTAAACAGAATTGCCCACCTAAAGTAGGGACTCCCAGGCATGCATCTCTATTCCTACTTCTCATGGCAAGGAAATCAAAAATATAATATGGAAATGAGGAATAAAATAAAGTCACGATGATACTTAACGGAGAAGGTCTGTTGTCTCTTTAAAGTCGCGCAAGCGATGAGAAAACTATACAAAAGCTACTTCACACAAGTGATCAAACAAGTTAATCTCCAAGCGTTCTATATTGCAAAACTTGCATCATTACTATCACAAAGCTATTCAATCACATGAACGTTCGATGAAACGTAAAGCCTATTTTTAGCATTTTTCATGAACAAAAATTAGTGAAAGAATCTAAAAAAAACAAGATTAATATTCATATATGTAGTTTCATGTCAATTTTCAAAAATAAAATAAAAATAAAATCAAGCAAGAGTTAACAAGGAAAAATTCTACGTAAAGCAAGAAAATATTAACATGAAATTGAAACCGTGGAGGGTACTGGTTCCAAAACAGGGGTGTGTATTACTAAGGGAGCTAGGCCCACTCAAAAACTGTCCAATAAACAATTTTTTACAGAATGCTTTGTACCATATCAAAAAAAACTATGGGCCTAGAGTGCTTGCCAATTCGGTCCAAGTCCAATTGCATAACACAAAAATTGTTCAGCTTATCTATTATTCCAATTCCAAATAAAAGAAATTGAAAATTAGAAAATATGGAAAGAGTGGAGACAACATCGTTTGACTGAAGCTAGGGTTACAATCTGTGACTATTGAACTTCTTCGTGAACAAAAACTCTTCTCTCTCACACGCGCGCACACACACTACGGCAGTCGAACCCATCTCATCTTCTCCATTTTCTTCCTACCGCCGCTGTTGAGATGCTCTGACCATACAGACACGCCTCCAACATCTCATCATCACCGTTCATATCCTCACATTTTTCTTCTTAGTCTAACACGCCATGAATGACCTCCCCTCCATAGCACCATCGTCATCAACTTCTCAGCCTCATTTTCCTCTTCAACTCAGGGAAACAAAAATTAAAGCTTGGAAAGACTCAAACAAAAACACACAGCCAGACATCATAGAGGTGAACATAAGGAGGTTCAAAAATTTACCGATCGGAGTCACTCCGATGGCGTTTCACAGTGACGAAGATATCGAATAGAAATCTAGAAATCCTTCGGTGAATGGTTCCGGTACGTGTATAATTTTGCTCGATTTTGTATTCTCTTCTTCTTCACGTTTCTATATGTTTGGTGATGCGTGTTGTTGTTGTTGATTTCAGAATGAGGCTCGTTTGAATTGCGATTGTTGTTGATGTAGTGAAGCTGTTGCGATCTGAAGATGGAGGATTGAAGTTATGTGAAGAAGTTGTGATGAAGATGATTTATGCGACGAAGAGAGGATGAAGGATGTGCAGATCTGTTGTGGTAATAGAGAAGAGTTAAGGAAGATGATGAAGGTTGACACTCAGTTGCAGAGTAAAGATGTTGAAGGTCTCAAACATGATGCAGAGATGGATCAGGTTCTTGAAGATTTTGTGGAAGACGATGATGATGAAGGTTCTTGAATATAGAAGCATAGAAAGAGAAGAGAGAGTTTTGTTGAGATTTTCTGGGTGATTCTTCAGAATGTGAAGAATAATGGATTCAAGGTGAGCTTCTGGTTTTTATATTCTGTTAAATCTGAGATAGTTAGTTAGAGCTGAATATATCTGAGCCTTTGGTTTTGATTTTCTGTTATGAAATGGAGGATGAGATTGAGAGTTGGTTACAATGTGAAAATTTTGTTATCTTTCTGTTAGCAACTGTTAGAGACTATTAGTTAATGTGAACTGCTATGTTGTTTCGGGCATTCTGAACTGTTTTTTTAAACTGTATATCTGGCTTTGATGCGATTTAATGTGTTAAATGCTGACTGGTTTTTAAATTGGGTAACTAATGAATTGAATAGTTTTTTGGTTATCATTAAGGTTGGACTGATTTTTATTTCATGATTATGCAGAGTCACGGTTTCAATTTGAATTTGTGCAGGGAATTGTTTAAAGAATGCAAGGTTATGGATTTATTTTGATTTCATTTAAGTTACTGGATGCAGGCGACATCAAATATTTGAGAATTGGAGCGTGTTTTATTGTTGATTGAATTTTGGGATAGGTGCTTGAAGCTTGAAGTTTATTTTTCTGGTTTTCCCTTAATATGTAGGGCAGTTGAACTTATTTGATTTTTTTCTGAATATGGTTATTGTAATGCAAGGCATGAAGTTTCATTTGGGGACGTGAATTGGTGAAGATGGAAGCACCAAGAATGGTAGCCACTAGGTTTAGGATAAGGAATATGTTTTGCGTATGATTTCTTGATGTAATGTCTCATGTTAGGTAGTGGTTTTGTGATGCCTTTTCTCACTTTGTAATAATATTAGTGTATTTTCTTGCGTAAATTCTTGCTATGTTGGAAAGTAGATGATTTGAAGTTGTAATGGTATGATTGAATGAAGTAACATGACATGTGGATTCTTTTGTTTCATAAAGAAGTTTGCTTTCACTTTCATTATGAATAATCCAAATAAATGGCTTTGAAACATCTTTTAGTCAAAAGGATGTTATCCTTACATCTTGAATTCACTTTATGACCATGTTCTCATATTAAATCAAATAACCACGTATTCCATAATTGAATATAAATTGCCTCAAACTCAATTCTTGCATTTAGAGCTCTTAAATACGTGTCTAAAGGAAACTAGTACCATAAGCATGTCAATCCACCTAGTTGACCTAACAAATCTCTGAATTATGATGCACACAACTCCTAGAAGTGATATGAGAAACAAACGAACACATCCTCATTCTGGTATAAGATCCATATCCAATGCCATGTGATCCAAATAGCAATTGAATCTCCTTTGATGAAGAAAAATCACTAGATACTCTAGCTTGCAATGACTATACCAATGTCTCCAATAGCTGGCACCTCAAGTAATGACAGAACCTGTCATACCCCAAATTTGTCCTACCCTTTTATAAGGATCACCTAGCTTATGCATCTCGCATCCTTCGTGTACATACTTCTCATTAGGCCATCTGACATTGCGTATATCATTAATCAATACATGGTCATGGGATCAAGGTATTTCTTTTCAGAAGCTACACATAAAAATGATTGTTCTGTCGGACAGTACAATAAGACAAAACTCTTATTTTCAAGGTTTAAATGTGTTCTGCACGTTTCACTGCTATCAAATCAATAGTCAATCAAGCCATCATCATGTCAAGCTCTCATGTATTTTAACACACTGTGAATTACAGAGGAAACAGGTGTTTCAGTGAATTTGAGACGGTGCAAATCAGAAACAACATTTTTGTTGGTTTGAGTTTAAAAATTCACAACTTTCAATCGGGATACTGTTTTGAAATAACTCTTCAGGAATTGGAACCGTCTCAGTATTTTCTTCTTTTCATCTGTTCAGAACGGAAGTCAATTTTGTGAACAAAGCCTCCAAAAATATGATTTTCGTGAAACGATATTTGAATATAATGATTGGTTATCTGTTTCTTGATGTTCAGAAATTCTTAACTTTCATTCGACTCAGTGTTTTCGGTTAATTCTTCGAGCATTGAGACCGTATTGATTTTCTTATCATTTCTCGTGTTCGGATCAAATGCTAATTTTGTGAAGAAGATCTCTGAGAATTTTAATTCTTTGAAGACAGTGTACTGAATTTAATTGTCTTTGTTCTTTTCCTCCTCCTTTAGATAGTGCTATTTTACCATTGGTTGGTAAGAAGCAATATCGTTGGATGTGAGGGACAGACGTGGGTCATCGTACAATCATAGAAGGCAACTTGTAATATGTTTTAGCAATTTGTCGTAAGGGACTAAGATAATTTACCGAAGGTAACATCGAAGGATCATCGAGGGACTACGATTTTTAATCGAGGGTCTTTGCTAAAACATCCCACGTTCGAGGGACATGACTGTTTTAATCCGAGGCAACAAGTGTGAGTTACCCTAGAGGTGCATGTGTGCAAAGTGTGTTTGATTCATGTATTTTATTTTGAATTAGGGTTTTGCTAAGTTTGATTTTAAGTTTAGTCATGCAAACCCTAATTACTAACAATAATAAGGAAAACGGTAAATTGCGGAATTTAAATGTCCTACGCTATTACAATACTTTGGGAATTGGGGTACAAGTTTTTGGATGAGGGGAAGGAAAGCAATAAAACCTAATTATCTATTACAAACCAATGAACATGAATAATAATAGAATATACAAAATGTAAAGAGGAAGAAAGAAATTATCTTTAGGGTTTTTGACTGAAAAGGTTTAGATATTAACCTACTCAAACTAATTAATTTTAATTTACAAGAGAAGTTAATTAATATTTTAACAAACCCTAAAAATCTATTTTAATTGAGATTAAGAAGAAAATAAAACCTAGGTCTAAATAGTTTGTTTAGAAAATAATTTTAAGGTTAATTTTAATTTAGAAAAACATTTTAAAGTATGTAAAATAAACAAAATCTAGTTCTAAATATTAGTGAAGATGGAAGCACCAAGAATGGTAGCCACTAGGTTTAGGATAAGGCATATGTTTTGCGTATGATTTCTTGATGTAATGTCTCGTGTTAGGTAGTGGTTTTGTGATGCCTTTTCTCACTTTGTAATAATATTAGTGTATTTTCTTGCGTAAATTCTTGCTATGTTGGAAAGTAGATGATTTGAAGTTGTAATGGTACGATTGAATGAAGTAACATGACATGTGGATTCTTTTGTTTTACAAAGAAGTTTGCTTTCACTTTCATTATGAATAATCCAAATAAATGGCTTTGAAACATCTTTTAGTCAAAAGGATTTTATCCTTACATCTTGAATTCACTTTATGACCATGTTCTCATATTAAATCAAATATCCATGTATGCCATAATTGAATACAAATTGACTCTAACTCAATTCTTGCATTTAGAGCTCTTAAATACGTGTCTAAAGGAAACTTGTACCATAAACATGTCAATCGACCTAGTTGACCCAACAAATCTCTGAATTATGATCCACACAACTCCTAGAAGTGAAATGAGAAACAAACGAACACATCCTCATTCTGGTATAAGATCTATATCCAATGCCATGTGATCAAAATAGCAATTGAATCTCCTTGTATAAAGAAAACTCACTAGAGACTCTAGCTTGCAATGACTATACCAATGTCTCCAATAGCTAGCACCTCAGGTAATGACAAAACCTGTCATACCCCAAATTTGTCCTACCCCTTTATAAGGATCACCTAACTTATGCATCTCGCATCCTTCGTGTACATACTTCTCATTAGGTCATCTAACACTGCATATATCATTAATCAATATGTGGTCATGGGATCAAGGTATTTCTTTTCAGAAGCTACACATAAAAATGATTGTTCCGTCGGACAGTACATTAAGACAAAACTCTTATTTTCAAGGTTCAAATGTGTTCTGCATGTTTCACATGCTATCAAATCAATAGTCAATCAAGCCATCATCATATTAAGCTCTCATGTATTTTAACACACTGTGAATTACAGAGGAATCAGGTGTTTCAGTGAATTTGAGACAGTGCAAATCAGAAATAACATTTTTGTTGGTTTGAGTTTAGAAATTCACAACTTTCAACCGGGATACTGTTTTGAAATAACTCTTCAGGCATTGGAACCGTCTCGGTATTTTCTTCATTTCATCTGTTTAGAACGGAAGCCAATTTTGTGAATAAAGCCTCAAAAATATAATTTCCGTGAAACGATATTTGAATATAATGATTGGTTATCTGTTTCTCGGTGTTAAAAAATTTATAACTTTCATCCGACTCAGTGTTTTCAGTTAATTCTTCGAGCATTGAGACCGTATCGATTTTCTTATCATTCTCGTGTTCGGATCAAAGGCTAATTTTATGAAGAAGATCTCCGGGAATTTTAATTCTTTGAAGACAGTGTACTTAATTTAATTGTCAGTCCACCGTTTCGTGGGTACTTAAAAATTCATAACTTTTGATTATAATAAATTTTTTAGAGTGGTTCTTAAGACGTTAAAACCATATTAATATCATATTCAATTCGTATGTTCGGCTCAGAAGCTGATTCGGTAAGGAAGATCTCTGAATATGCGGATATTTTGAAAAGATACAGTGAAAATACAGC